GCTTCATCATTGGGTGATGTAATGTTTCCACCCCATGCGCACTCATGATATTATAGGGGGGTGTCCAATATTAACATCAACCACGGCTATTGCGAGCAAAACAACTGAACACGCATATTAAGATAATGTCAAGTAAATAATTTTAATTTGATAATTAACATAGGTGGGTATTGTGAGCTGAGTTGTTTGATTTAACAATGTATCACCATGCGTTAAATTATTTGCTTCACACAGTATTCTCCCTAGGTTCATGTATAATATGTATATATGTATATACTCATACATTTTTGTAGAGGGCTGTTTGAGGTAGTTTTATCATATCTAACACGATCACATGAATGGGAGTGACTGTGGTTATTTCACTATGGGTTGAGTTATGTGAAAGCATCTATACCACAGCCTACACATGGTGTAAAAGGAGACTAATAAACAACTATATATTATTCACTATGGATGTATGAGCTGATTTGATAAGATTTCGAAGTGTCAAATAAATTGAAACAAGCTCGATCCATGAATGGCGCTAATAAGGGCGAATGATTTATTCCACTGCGATCCATGTTTGTATTAAAATGAATTATGACAAAATGCGCCTGCGATAAAATATACATTGGCTTAGGTTTGCACCTGATAGGAATGTGTGTGAATGTGACAATTTTCATACAGATAAGTATTATGTGAAAGCATTTTATACTACGGTCTACATAAACATATGCGACGTAGCTGTCCACCATGGATGTATGAGACGATTTGACACGATGTCATTAAATGTCAAATAATTTAAAATTAGCTCATTTAATGAACGGCGATAATGAGAGTGAATACAACCCACGTGTTTATTAAAACAAATTTTAACATAATACGAAGAAAAAAAATAGACGTCGACATAAGTTTGCATCTGATATGAATGGAAGTGAATGTGGTAATTTCACTATGGTAAACTACAATTTACACATGGTGCATACACCAGAATGATAAACTTATGTGACGTACTTATCCGCCATGGATGTATCATGATTTATATTTCGGCTTAATGGTGGTTGCCATGACATCTACTGATAATGGTTAAATGATGAGGCCAGATGACAGGACTGATTGAGATTAGTCGATACATTCTCATGAGTTTGCGATTTCAAACTTATGCGGTACCTTGGTCGTAGTCCAGAACTAATGATGTATACTAATGTCAACTGTGGAATGTTATTGCAAGACCATTAGCGCCCATAAATATATAAACTGACGTTGACAATATGATAGTGGTTTTCCTAATATAGTGACGATTAATCAATTGTATTATGATGTGTAAAACCTTCATGTGATTGGCTGTTTGTTTAGAGGCAAAACCTCAAAGTCTCTTATACTCTAATGGTTGACAAGTAATAAAAGTGATTTGAATCTGTCTCGGGAAGAAAAGCTCTAG